GGTGGCCCATTTTGCAGGCCAATGGAGACTCCAGGTAGGTTGATTGCCAAGTTGCTGCTTGGCTTTCCACAAAGTAGTCGCAGTTGGCGAGAGAACAAAAAACGCAACTGGTGATCCAAACGTGAAACATCACATCGCTCTAAGGCCGCAAACCGCGAGATGCTGGAGATGAATGAGCTCTCTTTGAAGCTCTCAATTGATCACTCTCATACAATTCATGGAGTCATAATCAAAAAACTGATCCATGGTAAATGCCTCCTTTGGCGGGGGTGAACCTCATGCCGAAAAAAGGCAGTGTACCCGCCCTCCACATGAAAAACCAGAAGGAAAACCAAAATCCAGTTTGAGGGTCCAAATCCCAAAAAAGAAATGCACTCGTACGAGTGGACGAGCGATTTTGGAGGCGATGCGTCCGTGGCCTCGATGGGGCGGCCAAGACCGGCCACGTTGATCGATCCCTGGAAGGCCTCCTGAATAGCTGTGAAGCTGCACTGAGGCTGAAGAACCTGGCAACGTCTGTGTTTTCTTTTTCACGGAGGGTGCCAAAGGTGGCCAGTTTGGGTCTTCTGGGGAGGGGGTGGTGGCGGTGGCGCCCGTTTTTTGGGGGAGGGGAAAATTAGCAGCATGCCTCCTTGGCTACGCCCAAAAGAATGTTTTCATGGCAAGAATGATGCAACACTTTAAATTTAGCATGCGGGGTTGGCAACAGCGTGCGTTTTTGAAGGACCTTCCTTTCTTGGGAGGGACTTCCCCCCCCCCGGCCCTTTTTTGGGCATCTCGCTTCTCTCCCTCTTCTCTTCTCTGCCTTCTGGAGTGGGAGGTCGGAGGCGTGCTGGAACAGGAGTGTTGGAAGTTGAGTGGAGTCGAGTTGGGGCTTGGGTGGACTTGGGGCGGGGGACTTGGGGAGTGAGAGTAGGAGAGGAGGTGGACTTGGAAGTTTAAGAACACAAACTGCTCGATCAATTCTCGATCCGTCGGGTCGACCCCTTTCGGAGGTATTTCCCACAAGATTGGCAGCATCTCAGCCTCAATGGAGCGCTCGTACTCGGGCGGCAGTTGGATGGAGTAAATGCCAATCAGCACGCCATCCTGCGACGGAAAACGCAACGACAACACGAGGAAATCCAAGCAAAACAGGACGCAACTTGGTGAAGGATTGCCCATTGACAATTTCTGTGATGTGGAAACACCGGGCGGTGGCGTTATGTCCTCCCCTAATCAACAGTAGACTACCCCCTTCTCCAAATACGCATTTTTTGGGGCATGACGTCAAGCCCTGACCAAACATAGGTATTTACAAACATTTACTATATGAACCATCTTTCTATAGTATACCCCTAAACAGGTATCTAAAGTAGATACCAATCACATTCTCAGTGACGTAAACTTTTGCCAGGGCTGGAAATTAGGAGTCCGATCTATCGGATCCTGATTCACAGGCTTCCCTGACCATGTCCACGAACATTTTGTGACCATGGCTGTCGCTCGGCTCAATTTTGGCAGCTTGACTGAGCTGCTCGGCTCGTCTCAGCCCCGCACCTCGTTTCTCAGCCCCGTGGAGAAGAAGGCCGCGTCTGCATAGGCACTGGGGCCATAGGGCTGCCAGTCCACATAGGTGAGGTTGTCCTCGAGTGAGTCATGGTGGTATTTGTCCCAGAACCGCGATGGCTGTGTCGTTCTTGGGTATGGGAAACCAAGATAAGACAAAAAACAAAAATACTTTTTTTGGGGGGGTGCTAAAGAAAAAACACAAACGCCCATCTAATTAATTGAGAGGACCGCATTCTATTTCTGGTTGGGATGGTTGGGATTGTCCTTTAACGGCTCACGTGATCCTAAGCGTAGCCCAAGTCGGGCTCCTTGGATCCTGAATGTAATCTGAGGCCCTGAAATGCAGCTGCACTACAGCCTGGGGTTCAAGAAGCAAGTTGAGCTCGCGGGAATCCCGAAAACCAAAAAATGATTTGCGCAACCTGGTTTCAAACGCCAATCCCGAAGGCGACAGCGATCCCTGAATCGCTCCAGAAAAGATGGAAAGCTGCATTGTTGCAATTGCACTCCGCAACAAATTGGAAGAATCCTGTGCCTATCCGATTGAAAAATCAAGCAACTCTCTCAAAACCTTCCCTCCCAACTTCGGCCAGTTTTTGCTCACGCCCGTCGCTTCGTCGCTTTTCTTGCCGCGTCACTGGCCTTTCCAAAGCCCCTCTGAACGCCTGACCAAGGCCAGAATCCTTCCATGGGCCATTTCCGTCTGCCGCGAAGTTGGTGGCGTAGTCTGTCTCCTGCAAATGGATATGTGTTTTTGTTTGGTTTGAGGAGGGAAACCAAAGGAAATTACGCCATTTGGGTCTGAAGTCTTGGAGCCAACGATATCTCGAGTCACAATCAACACCTTGAAATGATACCCAGAAGTGAAGAATCAAAAGGGCAGCTGCTAGGCATGGCTGGGACTGTGGCTTACTTGCTACATGAGTCCATTCCACGACCCTCTGGCTTCTTTCCAAAGCCACGGGATATCAATTGATTCCCAGGAACATTTAGGACATGGCGGCCCTGTCCGGCAACTGGTAGGCCGAGGGAAAAAAACATGCCACCTTGTTTGGGGTCCGATGCCAGAAGATTTCCCAAAGACCCATATCTGGGTACACAGAAAATCATGCCTTCAGAGTTTGCCTCTTTTGGAGGGCAGATTTTCTTGACAGCCAAGCCTTGAAGACAGAATAGATCAGGTTTCCCTCCAAGTCGAAAATGAAGATGTCATAGTAGCCACGCCTCGGCTCCAATGGAACCTGGCTAAATGACAGGCGACCGAAGACCGGAAACATGCTCAAGAGGTTGGGTTTGGACTTGGCTTTGTGTCCAAATTGAAGGGAACCCTTTAAATGGTGGGACTATTGGGGGTACCCAAATTAAACTCACCCAAAAAGGGGGTACCCCAAAAATACATGCGTATACACACACATGTACATGTTGTGTATATACATATTCTGGTGTGGTGCAGCGTCCCGAACCCCGCTCCCGACCCCCAGCCACCTCCCGTGGCCTGCAGTCCTGTGGTTGAGTTGTGCTGCAAAGTTAGTCTAGGATGGGTCTAGGGTTGGTTCGAGGTTGGCCTGTGGTTTTAGGGGTAGTTTAGGGTTGGATTGGGTTTGATTCGCTTGGTAATCGTGGGTATAGGGTTCCTTCTGCTCAAGCTAGGATTGATTCAGGGTTGGTTTGGGGTTTCTTGGAGTGCTCGGGTTGCGGGAGTGCCGGGATGCGGAGTTGCGTAGTGGTTTGGGGGCCGGGTCCTGGAGGGAACTCGTTGGAGGACCATACCATGGGGGGAGGGGAGGGGGGGAGTACCATGTATTGTATACGTATATTCATATATATATATATATATATATATGCACACACATACACACACACACACACCACTCCGAGGCGCTCATAAAGAATCCGGCGGTAGATGGGATGGTATTGAGCATGCACCTCGTGGTACCTCTCGGTACCCTCAGCTTCTAGCAGCTCGTCCTCGCAAAGAGCTGTCAGATGTGGCCCATGTATGCGGGACCCTGAAATAGAAGCATGGCCCTACGCTTCCTTGATTGCAGTCCTGAGCGCCTTCTTGGCCCTACAATTTGTCGCCTCAAATGATCTAACAAAGAAAACCATTTGGAGGAGACTCAGAGCTGTTTGGTCTGAGATGTTCGATGGCCTGAGGCGCGTGAAATATAAAAACCGTGGGTCAGGGTCAGAGGCCGGGCGTTGGATTTTGAGCCGTGAGCAAGCGCCTCACACGCACATCCAGCCAGCCATCCCACCATCCCGGGTCCTTCAGGTCTGTGACATACAGCGCAAACAGATCCTGCGTCATGGCGTCGCTCGAAGCGGTCCGTGGATTATGGCAAACCATGGACTAGTCATGGGAACACACCACTCTGCTCGGAATCTTTGCCCACAAGGCTTCCCAACTATGCAACCAAGGGATGTCGACCGAGTGCCCCTGGAGTTGGACAATGTCTTTTCGGAAATCAACCACCCGGTGAATATGTCTACCTGAATCCTCAAACTCCCTAAAATGGGCAATGATGGGCAATAGGATATTGCAAAAAAATGGTGTATTTGATTCTTTATAGATACTTTCTCAGGGTCCAGGTGAGTATGTGTAAAATAGGGACGTTGGACACCCAAAAATAATGACCAGATGTTTTGCCCCCCCCAACCAACAACCTTAAAAGGCATATCCTCACACAACAACAAGCCACCTAGCAAGCACAGAAAAACCAAAAACAAACAAACAAACAAAACGGCCCTCCCATGGATCGGGGCCTGGCGAGTGGCCTCCACGTCGCCACGGAAGCTGTCCCACGCGTTCTGGCAGAGCTCGAGACATCAGGAGATTCAATCATGTTTTGTTGAGGTGTTTGAAAGCCAAAATGTCCAGGCGAAATACCTCGGGGGTTGTACCTGAAACAAGTTTGTGTCGTGAGGAAACAACCAAAGGCCAGGTTCCTAGAACTTTCTTAGGAGTTCGGATAGAGGTCTCCATCAACCAAGGGTAGGGCCCAAATCATTACCCCTCGATAGTGGGGTGAAGATAGCCTTTAAGTGAGGAAGCCCAGGATCTATAGCCCATTGTCCCTAAACAAAACCGCTCGGGTACTTGGAACCCAGAACAAATAAACCCTTGCGTTCGAGAATGAATCCGTCTGTGTCCTGTTTGGGGGATGGCTCACAATATTATGTGTTTCGTCATTCTCTCATTTTTTTTTTTTTGGGGGGGGGGCGACGGACACACGAGTTTTTATCCGAAGTGTTTCATCCAGGTTCGACCTTTGGGCCGAAGCTCCGGCTTGGGGCTTGCCTTGAACTCTGTGAAGACCGTCTTCAGCTGCAGCCCCCCCACGTCTTCTCGGAGCCATTGCCTCACACGGATCTCAGCGGCCCAAGCCACACAAACCGTTGCGGCAACCGCCTTGTTCCCTGGGTTTTTGAATAGGTAACCAAGGGAAACCATTTGAAGACTATGGAAAATCCATGGTGACCCACTATAGTGGGATTCCCCATTTAATGCCGCCCCTACACGAATTCCATTTCCCTATCATCGCCCTGCTAAAGGAAGGCACATTTCGTGCTGAACAAGTTGGTTCGATTTCGCCCAAAGCGGGGGGGGGCACAAGTGCGTAACCTCGCCCTCCAGAACCCGCCAGCGCTTGGATGAGCCCACGTCCTTGGAACTTACCCCACATCTATCCTTAAGGGACTCAAGGGCCAAACCAAATCGCGACCCATTCCCGGAGCCAACACCGAGACCCATCAAAATGGTCCCAACCCAATGAAGAGGGCAAATCTCCAGTTTGGGCTCGGACAGTGCCTTACCTCGCTACGTTTCTCTAAGACCAGTGGGCTGGTCTCCTTTCCAAGAACCCCAAGACTTAATGCCAAACATGGTTATGTAAGAATTAAAGTGTACTATAGTTGTAAGCCAAACTAATGTTGTATTGTTTGAGATACACATACGCTCCTTGTAACGTACATTTATGTGTCCATGCAATACTGTATATTTCCAACATTTAGAAAGATGAAACATCTTATTAACAAGTCTTGCTTTTCTATTAAAGATGCTTGAGATTGAATATATTGAACAAACACCTGCATTTACTTGAAAGCTTCCCCCCCCCCCGGTCGCCCTGCGCGCGGAAGCGCCTGTGCGCCGAGGTGAGCAAGTCGGATCTCTGCCACCACTGGTTCCGCCAGGTGCCCTTGGACAGCCAAGTGACGCCTTTCTGCAGACCTGGCAGAGGAAAGCTGGAAAAAGGGCCCCGCCCTTTTGAAGCTTGGAAAAAATCTACCAAAGAAGGGGCATGACAAGAGTTAGGCCCAGTTACAGAATGTATATTTTATTGTTTGCTTCACTTTGAGTTACTGGTAAAATGTAAAAGGCACTCGCAAGCCACCCCTTCCAACACCACCCCCCCCCCCCCCTTCCTCTCCGCGCTGTTGTTTTGGTGGGCACAGCAGGCTGAGACGGGATGCGGCAGTGTTGCATGCCAATACAACCATCGCAGTCTCTGTGTCCTCTCAGGTAGCCAAGATAAGCATGATGTCAGAGCAGATTGCAAGGGAATCATTGCGGTTTATGAAAGGAACGAGGGCAACGTTGAGCAATATACCTGTACTGGAATTCTTCACACTTCGCAAATTTTGTTGGTCGGGTCTGTGCTGATTTTTGACAAGTCCTTTCTGGGAGTACCATCTAAAACATGGGGCGCCTGCCCGGAAGCGCCAATATGATAATCTATGATTATTTTACCATCCAAATAACAGCTGTCACCTTGGCCCAAAATCTGGGCTACACAGAAAACCAGTTGCTCAATCCCACATTTAGGCAAACCAAACATCTAACATATTTTTGGAGACCCCGGTTTTGCGAAAACATGGCCCATGAAAGTCACCCCCAATAATTATGTTCTGTCCGAGGAGTTGCAGGTTAGTCTGATTGGATCTTCAACCAAGTTAGTATCTTATAAGCATGTAGCCATGGATATAGCTGGGCTAAGAGGGGTTACTCCCCTTATAACCACGATTGTAACCTGCTTGCTTCAACGCACAAACACCCAAGGTGGTTACCAAAGGCCCCCAAACCATGAACAAGGACGGCGGGACCCCCTCCCAAAACCCCTCATCCCTCGTTTCTTGCTTTTTGGTGGCAGTCGCCATGTCGAAATCTATCCCCATCTTCTTGGGCAACTTGCCATCCGCTTGACGTCTCCCTGCCCTCCGCGGACGGCTCCGGACGGCTCAGGAAGTCGGAAGTCGCGCCTTCGATGATCGAGGCGCAAATGAGCTTTCGATAGAAGGTCTCGGGGCCCACCACGAAGATTACCCGGTCCAGGCCAGGGGTCTGGCCCTTGATGGTCGCCTCGAAACCAGGCGCGAGCAGCGAGCGCGCGAAGAAGAAAGAAAGAAGGGGTCAACCGAGGCCCGACATTTTTGGACGGCAAGAGAGGGCTCTAGAAAAACACGCAACCTCAAATCAGAAAGTGGGCAAAATAGGGGTCATCCGATTGGATTTGTCAGCGTTCCCCATCTTTCACCTTAAAATGTTCATCTCTACCAACGGAAACTCAGGGGGCCCTTGGGTACGATCTGCGGTGATCAAGCATCCGTTGGTTTTCATACCTGCTTTGGCTTTGGTTGGGCAAATGTCCCATTTGCATCTGGGTTCCCGATGCCTCTTCGTTATAATCGTTCAGAACCCTTGCCCCGTGAAAGGCAGAACTCCCGACAAAGATCTGCAAATTGCAAGAGGATGACTCAACCATGGCACGATTCCTTCACCAGAGTGGCTAAACCCATAAATGTGGGAAGTGCGCTATGTACTAACTCCAGCGACTGCAGTTGCTACCTGGCTTGGAATTGTGTCATCTCCGCGTAGCTGAAACAAACCCGCAAGAAGCGGTTGGCCACTTGGAGGTTGGGTTGCTTCCCTTGTCCTTCAAGGGTGGTTTGAAGCATCGCCGAAAAAGGTGCCCTTCTCCCTAGATCGACACGGCGGTCCCCACAATGGTTGCCTTTAATACCATATCATATAATCTTAATACGAACTACACATGACAAACCCAAATGTGACCAAACGGCAAACGCGAAAAGTTTTGCAAAAACGTGGTTGGCATCCCCCAGGAAAGTGCCCTTTCAAGTGCGGAATTCTGGCCATATAGATGATCTAGGATGCTGGCTGGAACCCGTTTGTTTGCACCCATGGGCCCATCACCTTTCAGCTGTGATAAGGATCACTGGCCTGGTCTCATCCAATCACCGACTGTTCCCAACCCTGAATCTCAAGATCAACCCAAGCGAGCCGGAGAAATTCAGCCGCATCCATGAGCCACTTTGGATGTTCTCCATACTCTCCACACCATTTTTCTGATCGGCCTCTGATTGGACCCTCTTCCAGAACAAAAAAAACAACTGGCCAAGCCAGGCCGCAACCCACAACAAGGACCTCCCAATAGTTGTTCCATGAGGTTCTATGGAAAATAGCTCAGGGTGCACATGGATGGCACAAGGCCCTTGTGGGTTGGTGAGGGGATGACTCGCAACCAAACCTGAGAAATTGCGCACAACACAGGTGCACAGAACATCACAACTTCTGAACTTGCTTCTATGGGCGGGTCTTTCTTTGAGGCTTGTTGGGGAAACCACTTACATTCGGTTCCTCAAAAACCAGACCAATTTCTGTGGGACAACCGAACCCAACGACCAGGAAGCCGGGTGGGTGGGTGAATGTGGCTGGCTTCTTGGGCCGGTCAGCCGAATCTCAGGCCTGCGGGCGACTTGGCGAACCGGGATTTTTTGCAACAGCTGTAGTCAGCTGACATATACCCCAAACACCCGGTCTGGTACTTTTGACCTTGGAACCTCACCAGCTTGGAGCAATATCCCATAGGCTACGTTTTGGTTCTTCAGGAACATGCCTTGAGGATATTTGGGCGTGAAGCCTTTTGGAGGGCCCTTTTAGGGTCCATTTGGTTGCGCCCGGCTTTGTGGTTTTCAAGGGATGACCTCCTTTTTTGGCGGGTCCCCCAAAAAAGACCCCTCCACCCCCAGTCGCTCTTATTTTGACACATATGTATGTCACCTGTCCAAACCGCATGGCCCTTAACCTTATACCTATGGACGCTTCCCCCCCCCCTTCCGGCGCTCGCTCCGTCCGCGTTGCCATGACGCTGCGGATGTCGTTCCAGCGGGAGACGGGGGCGCTGAGGTATTCGCTGCTCACGCCCATGGCTTGGAAGTCAGCGACATAGGCTTCCTTCGATGGGACGATGGGATGGGTGGATTGGGTGGGGTATGGGGTGGGGTATGGGGTGGGGTGGGGTGGGGTATGGGGTGGGGTGGGGTATGGGGTGGGGTGGGGTATGGGGTATGGGGTGCGGTGAGGTGAGGTGGGGTGGGGTGAGCGGGTGCCGACTGAACATTAAAACATATCTCGGTTTGCCTTCTTGGTTACCTAGCTTGCCTGGCCACTGTCCTTTGTTGACCCCTTAATGATTGACCTCCCTGCTCAAGGACTGTCCCCTTGGGCCCCCCAACAAATCAACAATGAAACACAAAACTGAATCTAAAACTACAAAAGCTATTGCCAATACTTCTACTGATACTTCCTTCATATTCTTAAGGCTTGCTTTTCCCACCGAGGGAAAAACAAAAACAGCTAGCCGGAAACGGCGGATGTCTTTAGACTTGCAAGGCTTGACAAGCTCATACAGGGTACAGTCGGCCAGTCCCTTCGGGCCTTCGGGGCACTCTGCCCTATCGGCCGAACAGCTGGAGAGGACGTTGGGCGCGAAGGAAAAACACCAAGAACAAACAGTTCTGGGGTCCCCCTTTCGCCCGGGCCCGGGCATTTTGTGGGCTGGTGTGGTTTTGCCTGAAACACCAGGGATTCTATGTCTAAACCCAAAAAACGAAGGGGCCGCGGGTTCCCCTGGCCTTAAGACCCAAGAATTGCGGGTAAAATTGGGGCCGAGGGTTGTGGGTTGCTAGGATTCAAACAAATAGCGAATCCCTTCGCCTGTGTAAAACTGATCATAGTCAGGAGCCACTCCTTGCCCAGGATCAAGAACTCCAGAAAATGAGCGCACATGCACCAAGTCCATTTGAGGCGTTCTTGGAACCCGATGTCTAGCAAGTCTGGGAAAAAGAAAGCGCAACCTGAGATCCCCTCTGGGTTTCCTCGGGCTTTGTTTCGTTAGACTAAACATGAAAGAGAATCAGAACATGAGATTCTGTGCACCCCAAATGTGGGCCAATATTGTAAAGTGATGTTTACCCCTAATCAATAACCCTGCACCCACTGGTCGAAACTGAAGAAGTCGACTGTTCTGGGCTCTAATACCAAATAGAACCAGAGACCCAGGAAGAAACATGGGAAGTCAATTCAAAAAGGGCTGTATATCTTGCGTGGATCAGCAGGGAAGCCATTTTGCTATTTGTTCAAGGGCGGTTCCCTAGGTTTCCTACTACTACTGGGTTGCTCTAAGCCCCCCTGAGCAAAAGCTCCACCTTCTGAGCAAAAGGTCGATCCGCTGTTGTAGACGCGCGGAAAAAAACCACGCGCTTCCAAAAGGTCACGGGGCGATTCGGTCACGATTGAATCGCCAGGTATACACGATGGATCCACTCGGGTTGAACATCTCACCCATTCGCTCGCCAAGACTCTGATTCCACTTGGTACTGGGCAGGATCTGCAGACACCACATAGACGTGCTTCCAAGTGTACTTTTCTTTCCTCGCAAAGGTCCAAGGACGGATTTCTCCATTTGCTGAAGTCCTGTAAACTATAAACAAACAAAAACGAAATCTGTTCGATGATGCATTGCCTTCAAAAGCAGCAGGGGAACCTATATTCCTGTATAAGCCAATGGCTCCAAATGACTGCAAAAACGGGAAACCAAGGGGCTTACTGAAAACGGGAAACCTGAGGAACATGGCTGCCAAGAAAGGTAATCTCTGGAAACATGGATGCAAAACAAAGTTCCCCATAAACATCGTTGCCAACCATGAGCACCCATAAAGGTTTATCCACGTCGAGTCGATGAGAAAACCAAACGGGTATGAGGGTATGGTATGTCAGCCGGGCAATTTGGAGTAACAAGTGGGTGTTGTTTTCGCTTCCCTTGAAAACCAACATGCCTCTAACATCACATAACCAACTGGCAGTCAACTTGAAATCAATTCTAGGTTTTACATGACGGTTTCCCTCGTTGCCTACAGGGGGGGGCCAAAAAACCGCGAAACATGTGTTGGATTCACCACTAGTTTCAACCTGGTATTGGGTTGGAACAAAAAGAACAACGCCTTTGACTGTTTGTTTTTGTTCTTCTTTTTGGGGGGACGGGGGGGGACGGGGGGGTCGGGGCGGACGGGGCGGGTTTTGTTGGTTTGCTTCCATGTATTGTTGGGGAAAAATCAAGCATGGTGGTTTTCCTTTTGGTGTTCGTTTCAACCCACAAAAAAAAACCTCGCAAAATCTTCAGGCCCAGGGGGCAGTTGCTCGATGACCGTCAGAGCTCGACTTCTGGCAGACGTGCCCATTCGTGCCAAGGCTGGGAAGGCCAACAAGTCCGAGAAGGCTGCGGAGGGGCACTCGTAGCTCAGGAACCTCTCCAAAAAAAAGAGTGTCCAGCAGACTCCAACAATTGCCTTTTCTCCCATGTCCAAAATCCGAAGTACTGACCAAACAGCAGCAGTTGTGGGGGTGCTTTTTCCCATCTCCAAAATCCCAAGTCCAACAAGCAGCGGTTGGGGGGGTGTTGGTAGATAGGCAAGTTGCGCCTGCGTTTTAAGCGACACTTTTCCCGAAACACAATCGCAATTGCTGAAACAAAGCAGCAATCTAGGCGTATGTAAATAACCAAGAAAAAGAGCCAAAGCAAGGGGAGCTAGTGCCCTTGAGAGAATCAGTAATAGTCACCAATAGGCTGCGATAGCTGCCCCGGGTAGGAAGACTGTTTATGTGTAAACCGTCTTGCTTCTATTTAAAACAAACATGAAAAACAATGGTGTCTCTTCATATTGGGGTAGGCTAAATTGAAGCGGAAAACCCTCACCTCGCAACCCAGGGCTGTGGGAGTGGGCGTATGCTTCAGCCTCAGGGCCGATCACCACCTGTCGCTTGTTGCCTCAGCCCCAGCGGCTTCTAATCCTCCGCTGTTGCTCACACTCGCCACCTGGTGATCTCTTCGCCTGTAGATCGTCCTACTTGACGGGCAAGGGGTGGAGAGGGAGAACTTGTCGGCGGACGCACAACCAGCGTGACGACAAGCCGAGCTGGACGTGCGAACGCTACGGAAGCCCACAGCAAGGTCGAGATGCATGCCCGGAAGCTATGCCAATGCCTAGAAGCACTCTGTCTTCGGCTTCGAAGACAAGCGCGACCCCCCGAGAAGGAACCGAGCATGATGAAGGAGCGCTGTCGGCGGCAAGACGGCATGTGACAAACGATGTGGTTGGATCAGCATCAAGCTGTCCAAGGTTTGGCGGTGCGAGGGGTCTGGCGGATTTGGGGGGCGACGAACCCTCTGATGGTGCCGTCGTCCGGAGCTTCCACCTGCTTGGCCTCGCCGCGTCTCAGAACCTGCACGTGGGCTGCCCGCCCGTGCAGACTTTTTCGGCACTCGAGATCAAAGCGGTTTCAGGCGCCATTCAATCTTCTCTGTGTCGTTCCACACATTGTGCGCGTCATTCTTGCCGGGGCCATGACCAAGGTCCCGTGTTCAGCGCGAACTGATATCCCAATGACTAGCCCTAAGAGAAACAGAGTATCGCAAAACACCATGTTTGGGATGTGGATGTTAAGAGAAACTAAAAGAAATCACCCATTTTGGACAGGTTCAACTATAGCCGACCGCCAGATTGCCAGGGAACGGCAAGCGCATGGACGTGGCCAATGAAGACACTTGACGGCACACAGCGTCGCAACCTCAGTGCCAAAAGGAGACGCCATTTCTTCGAGGTTCTCCCATTTTGAGACAACCCCAACTCTTTCTCGGTGCTGCCCAGATTGAGATGGAACCCAACCGCGCCGTTGTTTCGGGAACCCCCTTTTTGGGAATGGGACCTGTGCGGGTGCCGAGAGCATGTGACAATATGGCAACTGTCATGGAACCCCCCTGGCTTCATGCGTACAACTGTTTAACACCGTTCCGAGGTGCCCATGCCCCCGATGGCCACGAAGGTGTCAATTGTGGCCATGGCGGAAACCACTTTGTCCGAGCCCACGCTGTCGTCGCACTTATCATCATAGATCTGATGCCTGAGATTTCTCCAAGATGTCAAGCCTGTGTTCACAACACAAATTATGACGCTAAATTGTGAAATGTTAAACCGGACCCCCCCCCCCCCCCGAAAAGGGACCTTGCTGGGCGAGCTCGCACCTGGCGGCCAAGGTGCTGCAAGCGATAACCCGGCAGAATGAGTTGGTCCTGGCACTTCAATGCATCCTCATGATGGCGTGAATGACTTACAGTAGGCGCAGTCATTTCAACGGCCTACCTTTCCTTCACGTTCAAGGTCAAGCCTTGCAACTCAAACGGCTCGGCTGACCCTTGAGCCCAACATGGGTGCTTCTTGGCAGTTTCCTGGCAGCTCGCGGGAAATCCTTCGGATTTCCAAACACTAAGATGGCCACTTGACCCGCAAACCAGCACCCCAAACAAAACGCTCGTAGCCCAGTGGCTGTCATGTCTCCCTCCCCCAAAACCGAAGCCGCAGGACTCGAGCACTTCGCTTTGCCGCAAAGGCGACTTTCGGCGCTCGAGCACTTCGCCTGGTTGATGATGCCTTCCGCCAGCCTGGCGGCCAGACGGAAGGTCTGGCCTGCCGCCCAGTCACCCGTCAGCGGCCTGCGGGCAGGCCAAAGTCCAGGAGAAGCTCCTTTTTTTATGTGTTTCATGATATTTCTGTATTTTCTATATGTTGTGCTTTCTTTATCATTATTTTTTTGGGAGGGGGGGTACGCCGTTCGATGGGCTCTTTGGACTTGGTCGCAAGGGAAACTGCATCTTGGGACAGACTTGTTGACCCAAAGTTGCCCTTGAGTTTGAGCCCGTCGTTTTCCCGGTTGGCGCTGGGGCTAATAACAAAAATGGAACCCCGGCTTTGCAAGACCTGCCATTCGTCGGGTCCATGCTTTCCGCCAACAAGAATGTGGGTTTCGGTGTTCCGCCCCGAGCACTGAGGTCCCACTGAAGAGCCGACAAAGAGAGAGGGATTGCGGGCTCTGATGGGGAATAAGGGACCGGCCTGCAAACAAAACACAGTGTGCGCTTGGTCTTGGAAAAACTATCCTGGTTTTAAACGGAAGAGAACTCCCCATGCCGGGTTCCCGACACATTGTAGAGGGGAAGAACCTGTTCAATTCCCAAGGGACAGCAAATGACCATCTCGTTGAAGTGTGAGAAACTCCAAACATGATTTCGAGAACCACCCCCTTCGGCACTTGTAAACACAACCTCGCTTTTAGCCAGGGTAATCCTGAAAGGTGCGTATTTGGGGGAGGCACCAACAACCACTCACTTGCCCCGAAAACATGTTGTCTGTCGGTCAAACCGGACTGTCCAAAAATCACTCCTACCTTGAGAGGAGTGCGGTTGGGGTTCCCCAATGTCATTTCAACTGTTCTGCACACACATCAAAAATGAACATGGAACCAGAAAAGGAATTCCATGCCGCCCCCCCTTCCCCAAATTCATGGTTAAACGGGGGCGATGTCCAAAATAAAGGTGCCTGGAAATAACCCAATGGTGGGTCTTTTGTTGTATTTTCGCGGCCCTCATAAACCGATTCGTGGGAGCCTGCGCTGAAAGTGCTTGTTATGCAGCAGTTGTGGCTGAAACCTGGTGTGTGTGTGTGTGTGTGGCGCTTTCGCGCTACAATTGCCGGCCTTTCAACTTTCGCGATGCTGGTGATTCCTATCATGGAAGGCCCTTTCAAAAAGACTCCTTACAAAATGCTAGTCTTGCAATTTGGATGGCCCCCTTGCACTGATTCCTATCGTCAGACGGGGGGGGCAATGGCCGAAAAGGCTGACAACTTGTGACCAGCGGGGCCCATTAGATGGACGTTGAGAAGGGACCAAAGTCGACATTATGCAAGGCTTCCCCGAGAGGCCATGGCAAGTCCCTTAGGTTTCGTGGGAAGCTTCGAGCTCGACCATCCGCATCCGCTTCGAGGGTACTGCGGCTGTTGTGGACCCAAACCCTGAGTTGACCCCCTCACCCCAACCGGTTCCTCATCCAAACTCTCTCACCCCTTGGCCCACATCTGGCATACACGAAAACACATGAATATGTCCCCATTCTGTTGCGTATTCCGTGCAACATATCTCATAGTTTTGGAGGTGACCCGCAGGGTTTGTCTCAAAACGGTCAATCGACCCCCTTTGGCTTGGGGAAGCCAAAAGGAACCCTTGCCCAACAGAAAAAGAGGTAAAATCTGAAGATTCCCGGGAAAAAAAAAACAAAAAAAACGGGGCTGGCCACATGTCCTGGCCCGAAAAAGCAAAAAAAGCACATGGCCGTGGGTCAAAAATGGGTATCCACTTTGGAACCCTAGTAAATGAAACCAAGGACTAAAACCCGCGGTCCCCTAGTGCGTTTTTGTTTGACCCATACCCACATCGACGCCCCTCCCTCCGCGCATGGGGGCCAGGATCTCCAGAGCCATCAGCGTGGTGGTGCGCGTCACCGTGGAGAAGAAGTCCGAGACCCCCGCGGCCGCCTCCTCAGGCAACATGGCACCAGTTGGTCAAAGCTTGGCACACGGGTGTGTCTTTAGGGGAAACACCCAAAATGCGTGCTTCTCCATCTAGTTTTCCTTTGAAGACCACCGGATGGGGTAGTATCAAAAAAAAGGGCCACAGCCACATGGTTAAAAGAGCAAAGCCGTAGCCTTAGCTCTTTCAACAGGGCCACTGGGTTCGAGGGCGGGGCCCAAGTTCTCCAGCTTTCGGCTGTGATTCCAGGCGCTGACTCAAAAAGGAGATCTACCTCGGAGACCTGGCGGTTCAAAAAAACAAAAATCTGGATAAACACGATATTTGGATAGCCAGGAAAACCACCACCGCGTTGGGGCGGAAAACCAACCTATTTTCAAAAGAGCCTTTTCCATACGGGGTGCGGGGGGGGGGGGGGGGGTGCCCGGATCGCTAGTTGCGAACCCTTTTTCCCAAAATCTGCGGCTGCTTTTTAAAGTGGATGGAGGGTATGTCCAACCACCTTTTGAAGGGGGTTAGAACCTGGTGTTTTGGGGCGGGAGCGCACCACCATGTTGGGTTTTTGAGGATACCCTTCTTGGGGTGGATTTGTTGGGACACCTTCAAGCAGTTTAGGAGATGGGGTTGTAAAGTAGCCTTCGGGGTGTCGGATGGTCCCAAGGAGATTCCTCAAACAAAATGGTGGTTGGGAACCCATGCAAACTTGCAAAGTGGGAGCTTTGGGAATGACGGTCAGGCAAAATGGTGGAAAACATACAGGCTATTGTCTCGCAAAGGCTTCAATACGGTTTATATAAACCTGGTTAAACAGCCGGGCCAATCCTGAGGGCCACTTCCGCACAAAAAAGCCCAAAAAAGCGATGCCAAAGTTGTTCACGTGTCATCCTGTTTACTTTATGTGGGGGTGCCCCTGTTTTCAGACAGTCAGAGCAGTTGAGGGGGCCTGTTCTTTTTGGGGTAGACGGATGTGGCACCAGTTTTGAATTGCTGGTACTTTTTTAGTGGAGCCTCTTGGAAAGCAACGACTTTAGTGGAAAGCAGTGGGAAGTAAAAAGGGTTGGACTTGCTCTGCGCTTTTCGTTTGAGACTTGGATGTCAACAGATGGTAGCCAAGCAATGTTTGGTCAGACATTGCGTCCATGGTGGTGGGAAAACGGGCACCTTCCGGTGATACAAAGAGGGGCATCTGCGCCATGGCAGTATGTGTTTGCCAAGCCTTTCCCAACGAGAATTTTCACGCGAAAGGGAATTCCCTTGGCTCGCAAAAAGCGGCCACATCTAAAATGTCCAAGCATGCAGGTACAGCCCAGCCCAGGTTGCGTGAAGAAACACGAATCTGGGGGGGCAGTTCAAAGCCTTTGAAGTATTCGTTGGTTGAAGTCCGCTGTTGGATAGCCCCTGCACGTGAACTCCGCCGTCAGAAGAGTTTTCGAGAACCCACAGCCGTAATTTTGAGAACCCCGTCTGTTTACTTAGGGAGTCCCTAAGGAGGGGTGATGAAGGGGGGGTTCGCTAAGGCTCCCTAAGGAACCCTAGCAAAACCCTTCTCAACTACCCACCCCCCTTCTCCTACCCCCATTGAGGGATTTCATAGTTTACAAGAGGGTGAAAGTAGATGGCACAATTCCCTTATGTGGGGAGGGGATGACAAAACTGACATGAGGGTATTGTGCCTACTTTCACCCAACTGTAGGTGTGTCTCTTTTTTGACCATGCTTGTTCGGCGAGGGACACGAAAAGCAAGCCAAAAGGCACCAACATGGAAACCAAGATTTGAGTGCTTTTGGGGTGACCCACCTGTTGTTTTGACTCATTCCAAGAATCGGTGGCCGTGTCGGCCAGGGGCACAAAGCTCTTCATGGTAGTGACGCTGGTCTCACCACCCATAGCTATGGCCTCCACTTCCGGCTTCCTTGGAGAGCCCCACAAATGGCTTGGTGTTTCTTGAGCTGGTTCTCCTTTTTCTTCGGTTTTTCAAGGGAAGCCAAAAGGACGCCATCAACAGAAGCCAAAAGGACAACGCCACCTCTTTGGTGTTCTGATTTTTTGTTGGGCGGGGGGTCTAACCGGAGTTGTTGTTCGTCTCTGTCCCCCTACAAAAAGACTTAAACCCAAATTAAGCAGAAGCCCTGCAAATACGTCTACAAAAGACCCAACAAGGGAAGAGGTTCAAACCTCTGAGACATGGACGCGTTGGTGGTCATCCAGCTTCTGGAACGGAATGGGAGCAAAGGGTTGAACCATCTCTCCCGAGCAGGACCGCCAAAAAGGTGTTTGGGGCCCCCGAAAACCGGAAAAGTGATTCCTCCAAGCGACGGCACGATGGGATTGAAGGCACCGAAAGGCTTGAAACTCTGGGACCAAGGAGATGAAAAAATGGGGGGTGGCTTGGGACCCTCCCATCACCTCAAATACATCCCAATCCCACGGGGGTCCGATTTAATCTAGGGAACACACAAGGACAGCCCTTTGATGCTGGAGGGCCTCTCAACTTTCGAATCGCCAATGCTTGGAAGCCCGAGGTTTCCAGCGCGACCAGTTGCTTGGGTCTGGTCATGAAAACTAGGACTCTTTCCTCTGGCTTCCGTTTGGGAAGCTACACCAATTGTGTCTTTTTTGAGGGTACCCTTTTTTGGATGGTTTTAAAGGAACAAGATCGAGGACACCCGAAGTCTTTTTTGGGGCCAGCCTTGAGAAAGACACACCCAATTGCGTACTCGGTGTCGTCTCAAAATGGGCTCGCTTTTGGCTTTTCCACGGCCTAGACCCTCAAACTACCCTGGGAGACCGCCCGTAAGCTTCAGGGTAATTTCCAATGCTCGAGGGTCCCTTGAGTCTGGGTATTCTAAAAAGAGGCAGCCCCAAACGAAAACAAGCAAGCAGGCAAGCAAGCAAGCAGGCAAACAAAGCAAAACACATCAACAGAAAAAAAAATCAAACCAAACCAAACCAAACCAAACCAAACCAAACCAAACAACCGAAAGTCTGGCAGCTCCGCGTCGGTCTCTACCGCCCAAACCGGTTCGTTTTTCGCTTCAAAGGCCCGAGCCACAAAGCGACCCAGGCGGAATCCATGGCGGTCAACTTCTCGAGCCCATCGAAGGAGTTAGTCCTTGGGCCGAAGGATTTGCAGCTTTCTACGGAAACCCCAGACTGGCGGTGAGGAAGGGACACCTTAAAAAGATGGTTTTTGGATCGCAAATGAGTTGATCCAAACCGGCGGTTAGGTTTTTGGTTGAATCGCTTGGGTTGAATGAACACCAAAAGGATGGTGGTTGGTTGGATGGCACATGACTTGATCTACGTCATAGAATGGGAGGTGGCCATACGGACAGGGTACACTTGGTTGTTTGTTTGTTTGTTCCTTTCTTTTTCTTTTTCTTTCTTTTGGGGGCGGGGGGAGGAGGGTTTAAAGAGGAATTGAGAAGGGACACCATCGTGCATCAGTTTGGGGTTCCCCTATTTAGAGACACACTCACAAAAGTCAAAGGATGCAAACTGAACCAACTACCGAAAGGATTCAATCCGAAATCTAACCGTGAAATACCTAGAACAAATACAACAATATGAAATACCGAAATACGCGAAGTGGAACCAACAATGCTGTTGCCAGTGCTGAGCCACACATTGCGATTTCGCGACCTTTTTGCCTGTCCTTTCTGGCCGTGTCTCAGCAACAACAAAAACACGTCCCATGCCATGCCCGCACAAGTGCGGGTGTGTATGTGTATGTGTTGTCTGTGTGTTTGTGGACTTGCCTGCTTGCGTGCGTGCTAAATTGCATATGTGCTTAAGTGCTTGCTTGCTCGCTTGCATGATTATTTGCCTGTTTGCTTGCTTGCGTGCCTGCTTGCATACGTGCTTACGTGCTTGCTTGCTTGCTTGCTTGCTTGCGTGCTTAGCAGCTTGCTCGCTTGCGTGATTTCTTGCTTGCTTTCTTGGGCTTTCTTCCTTGCGCTCTTCCTTTCTTGCTTGCTTACCAGTCTTTTTGTTTACTAGTTGACTCTTACAAACCCAGAAAACAAAAAACAAGGGCACGTCTCATCTTGCCGCCCGCTGTCGCTGGGACGTCGGTCATGGCCAGACGACGGTACAAGTTGCCATCCCTCAGAAGCACCTCTCAGGGCGGAGCTTGAGCGAGTCTGGTTTGTATCAAAAAAAATCATTGGCTGTGGCTGCAAAACATGTACCAACGTGGAACCTTGCTTAATGGAACAACAGACTAAAACCTGCGTAGCCCTATACCCATTTGAGAACTCAATATGTGGGGTTTTCGTCTGGTGTGGTTTTGGGTACCCTTAGATTCCGTTCAAATTGGGGTCCCCTATGTTCAGAACTCTATATACCTGAAAACTCCTTTCGGCCAAAATTGCAGTCGCGGACTCCAAAAGGTGCCTTTTTGCATCCTCCGGCAGAAATCGGGATTTCCAAGAAAAGCAGCGCTCTTTTGCTTTTCCGGCGACGTTTCTTACTAAGCGCATTGCGGTCACAATCTTTGCTTGTTTACTGCTCGATTTGCGGGCGAAATATACAGCCCGACAAGCAGCATAGACAGGCAACCTCAAATGCCACATCACCCGCTTGTGCCTGCTACACTAGAATCCGGGTATGATGCCTGGCATGAGGTTTGCGGGTACCCGTGTGGCGATAGCGCGCTCGTCTTAAGAGCTGCTGGCAGCTCTGCGGCCTCGCAATTGGCTTTCGACTCGCATAGCGGCTTTGCACACCAACAGGGCGACGGCGGAAACACACGCGATCGCCCGGATACACGCGGGATGACCGCGGAAATACGCGGCCACCCAGTATCGCAAAAAAAAGCCATTCACTTCAGTGTTCTGTTACTCGAAAAGCTTACCCGCGATTTCACGCCGCTCATTGGAATCATTGTGCCTGCAGTCACTGACAGGAGACAAACTCAAAGTGGATTCCAAAGCTCGCCTCACTGGAGCGCAAAGGTGTGTTTTTCGAAAATGCCGAATACTCTTGCCTCAATACAGAACGGCTAAAATTTTGGCCGGACACCGGACACTCCCGTATAAGCATACATATATATATATATATGTACATATATAATAATATATGGGCCATGGTCATGGTTCCCCTAATGCGGATCACTATCATGGCGGCATAATTTGCCTAAAGGCCCCAAAGGGTCCATGAGCATCCCTGCCAAACCTCCCCCCAAAACGCCTTTTGACAAGGCACAAATGAGAACCAATTCAAATGTGTGATCCAGAAAAGGTCAACAAGGACACGGATCTGATTTTTTGGAGAACTTCCTTGGGGCTGTTTTGAAGGAAGACCACAAAGTGCCCTTTTAAACATCATCCCACCACAGGAAAGCTCACTTCACATCGGCACAAAAGGTAATGTTTCAAACCACCCTTCAGGGGACATTCCCGGGAGCTTTGAGATCGGCTTGGGTTCTGACTCAAGGGAAACTCCGACCTGACCACACGAACAAGGGTGTGGATCGGTTTTGCTCGATACCCTTTTTGGGGTTGGACTGAAGGGGAGCGAAAGGGTTACCACCTGGCCCACATTGCTCCGACAGGGAAACACAGGGAAATACGACCAATTGTCTAACCTTCGCCTTGTGCTTTGATCATCTTTTGTGAATCAACAAAAAGAACCACCCAAACCTTTGGTCCTCTTCGAAGCAAACTTTCTGATCTCTCGATCGAGGCCTGGTTTTGCTCAAACTTGGCGGAGGTCGCACCGAGACCTCGGCAGGTTCCACCGCTTAAAAGGAGATTGGCTCGGGGTGTCGAGCTTCCATGGTCAAGACAGGGATTTGGCTTTAAACCGCCAATTTTGGCAGGTTCCATGCAGAATTAGGAATATGGGTTTTCCAAAACCTTGGGTTTAAGAACCTGCAACACGAGGCTTGTGGGCTCCCCCTGCTTCTTGGCGATTCCATGCGCCCTTGCTTCCCGTAATGGATACGTACTGCTTCGGCCTCGCATGCGTGTTTGTCTCTAAATAGGGCAACCGCCAAAATTGGCGGTTCCTTTTGGATCCCTGCGTAACCGACCCAAAAAGCCTCAAACAAAAAACACCCATGTAACCTACAAAATGATGGGTTCCATTCCTGGGTTTGTTTGTCAAATCAACCCTGGGTATTCTTCTCTACCGCAGGCAACATCAAACCCATACCAATCCAGAATCCAGGGAGTCTACACCATCCCAAAAAAAGAGTGAGTGTCTAACTGAAAGGGGAATGTGCTTCGCATCAACTGTGACAGTTTTTCAGGTGTCTGAGAAAAAAGGCAGCACCCACCCTAAAATGGAGGAGTCGAAAAAACTACCCTTCAAAATGGGAAAGTGCCCCAGACTCTTGGTCCAAGGGTGGTTTTTCGGGCCGAACTAAATGTCCAACTGAACATTTGGAAAAACCTTGTTCCCCTGCCCCTGGCAAATACCTTGTTTTTCTGTTTGTCGAGGGCTTCCACGCCCTTAAAATCATATAAATATATACGTATATGTATATCTACACATGTGAAGTTCCGTCAAAAATTGTTGTTCACAGTAAGTACGTTCGAATTTAGAGAGTCCCCTATCGTTATCCAACGTTTGGTCTGTAGCACAAAGGTATCGTTTTTTTGAGAGTCCCCTATCGTTTTCCATGGCTTCAAGCACCTTGAGCTATGTGGATGTCCAAGTGTAGACTACTTTCCTTTTCCGTAAATTCTGACCGCGCTTCATGTGCCATCGCGCCATCAGGGGGGGTCACGTGCACATGCGCCGTCTGGCCTGTGCGGTGGCACGCAGGTGATACGCGGCGACACTCAAGCGACACATGAGGGACACGCAGTGACGCAAGTGGCACGCAAGTGGCACGCAGGTGACCCGCAGTGACATGTGGGTGATACGCAAGTGAAACGCGGTGTGAATAGGTGATGCTGGCGATGCGGACAGGTGATGCTGGCGAAACGGAGCGTGTCCTGTTAAGCGCTCAATTCAAGGAATGAAAAGATGCCATGTGCGAACAGGTGATGCTGGCGATGTGGACAGTGTTTCAAAAACACTTTCCCAATCCACCCTGCGCGTGTTCTACATGAGTCCCCGCTGCGGCCGGCGTGTACCTTGCATCACCTGTGTATGTGTGTGTGTGTGTGTCATTGGCGTGGCATCGCGTGTCACCACGTAGAACTTGCGTGCCGCTGCGTGTCACTGATACGCTGTCACTTTCGAGTCACGACGCTGCGCATCCCGCTAACCAAAGGTAGTAGTTTTGCCATCTACGCCCTTTTTCGACAATTCTATCTACCAACGATACTGACAGTAGTCGTAGTACGCTGGAAAGGAAACAAAAGGGAAATCCAAGGAACACCAAAGGGGGCATCCGTCGAACCCCCGTGCCCGTGGCATCCATCGAACCCCGTCGCGGGGTTCGGGCATAGCTGAGCTCATCGCTGCCGCGCAAAGAGTCGAAGCCGCCCATGGAGATCAGCACGGCGTCCAGCTGGATCTGCTGCAGCATAGACCTGATCGCCAAATCGTTTGCGACAGAGCAAAGTCTTTCTGACCATGCCATCCATCTGCGATCCGAACCACGAACCAATCTAGGCGACCTCCAAACTCTCTGGCTTCCATTTGGCTTCGTACACAAAAGGATTCTCCATGCATTCGAAGCCTCCCCCGGTCCCCGAAACAAAGGAGAGTCATGAGTCGTGGAGTCATGAGTCGTGGATGAATAATCGGCGGGTGTCCCTAAATGGTTGAAACGTCCAAGACCAAACCAAACAGCAGAAACAGTGATGCCAAGATAGCCCGTGCTTTTCTTTTCAACCAAACATGTTGCCCAGAAAGAGCAGTGATTGGAAACGGAAATGGCATAAAATATATACGATCCATTTGCCTCCAGGTGTCTTGTGGCTTCCCTGAACACTTGGCCCACAAAAACAGGAACAAAAAACAACTATGACTTTCTGATTCTGCTTCATATTTGTCTACATAAAACTGTTTTATGGAGACCAAGAAAATAGCCTCCGAAAGGGCCTTTGAACCTTCCGGACTTCTGAGGCGCTGGGTCTCGCTGGCCAATCGCATCTTCTCTCCTCAGTCCGAGATGTCACGTCAAACTACCCCTTGCAACATGGGTCGTGGCCAGCGGCCGGGGTGGGAATTCACCTCAATGTTTGCAGCAAACCGGCATTCTCCCAAATTTTGCGGCAACATGTTTGAAGGCTAGTTTGAGGATGGCGCCCTCTTTCAACGGCCTTTGGACAGTCCGCTTGAAAACAAAAGACCCAAAACTTCCATCGTTGGAAGGTCCGTTCCCTTTTGGTTTCCCTTGAAACATCCGAAAACACACATCCTCTTGCATTCGTTTCCTTGTGAGGATGGGGACCGGCTTTTGGTCCATCCGACACATCCCTCAAACACCCAACGAAACCTCGCGCAGGAGGCCAACCAGCCGGGAGGCCCAGGATGGTAGGCTGCTGCTGATAGGCTAAGCTCTGCACCTGGCCCAGGGAGAGGGAGCCTTTCAAAGGGAAACAGCAAAAAACAGCCCAAGAAAACCAAGAAAATCAAGAAAACCAAGAGGAACCGTTTCAAAGCCAGTCCCCAGTTTGAGATGGATCGCTTGGGAATTGCTTGCGAATGGTGTTTTCTCCCGCGACTTAGGCCGAACATGTTGTGCAAGAACCAACAAAACAAGGCGATCTGGGCCTCTTGCTTGAAAACATCCTACTTTGGGTTCCCCTTAAGGGGCAAACCAGGGGTTTGGTTGTTTAAACAGTTGTTTTTCAACCAACCTTGCCTCGTGCTCAAGTTCCAGGACGACTGACTTGAAACTTTCCCCCTTGTTGCGCATATCCAGCAGTACCTGCACAGGGATGCAGTCCACTCGACGCAACAGGCCCCAGCGAAAGGGACACACCGAAACCCGCCAGGCTCCTGGTTTTGTTTTTGCATATTGTCTTCTGTTCTTTTCATGGAAAACAAACGCCCTTTCTTGTTGGTTGGTCTCAAAGGGAAGCCCCCCGAAAGCAAAACAAGTCATTGATGCGGGGGCGAACTTGCTTAAGACGAGCCAGGCCACAGGGGCAAAATGACACCCGCCAGTTGGAGGACTATGTTTGGGAGTGTTCAACCCGACTCGACGGGAGACACTTGGGGCTTCGGAGAGGGAAACCAACAAAAGCCAAAAGAAACCGAAGGCAGCCAAAGGCATCCAAAGGATGCCACAGGAAACCAAATGCACCCAAAGGAAACCAAAGAAAAGAAAGAAAAGGCTCCAGGGCAAACCAAAGAAACTGTCTATGAACTCCATCCACCCTGGGGTTTTGTTTTTGAGGCGGCTCGGAGCAGGCTCGCTGCGCATGGACGCGATGCAAAAACTCAAGCCAAACATCAAGTCTCCGACTGAACGAGTCTCTGTGTATAACATTTAATTAGCTTGTGTATCTATTCTATGGCATTTATCTATTCATTGATGTATTCACCGCTTGTTATTGATGCTTTGTTTATTTGTACATACACATGTGTACACAGCATGGGAACCCCAAGCCCTTCTTGTTCTACGTTCCATGTCACCTGCCCCTGGGAATATGGTGGACAGCCCAAAAAAACCGGGACCTGTCCCAAGAAACATTTGGGGGTGGATCAAAAGGTCCCACGAACATGGGATGACCATTGGGGAAACCCACGCAAAGGATTCGATATGTCCCACTAAATGGGACAAGTTACCCATGGTAACTGGGGGGCCAGAAATACTAGATCAGCCCGCATAGTAATAAGTGTGACCCTCAAACAACACTCCACTCTAAGGGAAAGTTGGGGCCCTTCTGGCCTCCCCGAACCAACGCTAGACTGCCGTTTTGGTTTCGTCTTTCCGGCTCTGCAGTGTGCCCAGCTGAGCCGCGTGACGCAGGCAGGATGTTCTACGTCACTATGCCAGTAGCCCGAAAACCGCAAACGCGCACCGCAGACGCACACTTGCAGATCCTGCTCTCCAAAGAAAAAAACAACTTGCCAATTTCTTGTACACAAATTGGCTAGCGGAGTACCGACGATACAACCAGGGGTTTAGGCATCCTTTATATTCAGGCATATTTCCTTGTTACATGAAAGCATCATTCGTGCAAACAACGAAATCAACAGGTCACAGAGGCCTCCCCGATGTTGTTTTCATCAGGGGGTGACATCCATCCTGTCACTCTCCCTCAGGCGGCACCGGCCTCCTTCGCCTTTGGACCTTTCATTTGAGCTTCCAGCCTCAGAGCGCGAAGCTGTGCGGCTTGCTGCTTTCACCCGGGGCTTGTTTTGGCTTGTATTTTTTTTTTGGTTTGAAGAATCTGAAGATCAAAAACAAATGTGCGTTACGTGTTTCTGTGGCGGCCTCTAGCTCGGTCAACGAAAGCTGATTTGGGTTTCGAGTTTCGGGCTTTGAGCTTTTTCGAACCTGGCTTGGTGACTGTTGGTCCGCTTCGGTGTTTTGTTGGGGAGTATCTAAAAAAAGCAGACCGCATGCTCTATAATGAGTGAGCAAAAAGGAATGAGCTATTAAACATCACATTGTCCCAACGTAATAAGGGGCGAGGTTCCGAAGTTTGCGAATTTCAGGCTCGAGGTCTTTGGCTTTTTCGCCTTTTTGTCCTCCAGGCTTCCCCAAATTCGCCCAAGGTACCCCGAAACCTCACATGAAACTGCTCACAAGAAGGCAGCTGGTCCTGCAAAACGACGGGAAGCCGCTCAAATCGGCAGTTTGGATAAACCACCAATCCAAACGAGCAGGGACGCTTTGCTGCACCACAATTCACTATTCCCTATTTTATCTGACATGCCAAACTACTAGTGACTGTTGGCGTTACCTTCCCATCGCTGGCTCTGAATCAGACTTCGACTATTGATCCAAGTTCAGCTGAATCCTGAAAGGGTTCGTCTCATGGGACGGCCCATGCTGTTTGTTGTCCACAGGCGCCATGCTCACATCTTGTTTCCCCAGACCATGGGATGACAGAAAAACCTCTTGGTGTCTTGTGGTCGGAAATTGACTGAGTCCCCAAACGAGCCTCACATGGCTTCCTTTGAAAGAGTCAGCTCTCAAACTCCTGGTGCGAATCTGAGAGCCTAAATGTGACCAAATTCCTATAAACGCATCTAACCGTAAATTAAGGGCGCCCCGTAAAAAAAAGGACCTTCAACTGTGAGCTCGTCTTGCTTCCAAGTAAGCTTGCTGCCATTTGTCAGAATGGAATTCTACTACGAGGATTCGTTTGAAGATGCCTCTGGTGAAAGGGTGACGGTTTGTGTCACACTTTCACGGGAAATACGGCGCCATAAATTTTAGCGGCGTGCTCAAGTTGATACCCTAAATGACAATCTAAAAAGGGACGTCCCACCCATGTAAATCCAATAACCACTTTCTCCTTGTGTGAGGGCCCAGTCTCTTTTTCACAAAGTTCCCCCAACATATACATCCCCAAATCAGCTTGGTACTAGTGTAATCCAGCCTGCCCAAAATGCATCCTTTTTGCAGCCATGGGAGCTCACCCTTTGGTTGGCCTTTGAGCCCATCCCAAACAGAGTATCTTCAAACAAAACGGGATGTTGCCCCCACAATTCTTCGTATTGTTTGCATCAAGCCCTGAGAAACTTCCATGGTGTCCCCTTTTTCCGGGGAAAAAAACACAGAAACCACCCCCTACATTCATTCCGCCTCAGTCGGTTTTCATCGGGTGGCGTGTCCCAGGTGTCGCTGGCAGCGAAGAGGTGGTCCGCGGCCGCCTGGGATGGGGGCGGCTTGGCCTTGGCCGCGGGGCTGCCGAACTTGAAGTCCTCGAAGGTGGCGTGCAACTCCTGCGATCGATCCGGATCTGCAAATGCCATGCGAGCGAGCGAGCGAGGTGCGTTTCGCAGCTGGCCTCTTTTTGGGAAGTTGGGCCAGTTGAGTGGTAAACTAAAAAAGTGTGGTTACCTTGGGCCAGGGAAGCCCATGGGGGAAAAAAAACACACACGCTGCGATAGGTTGGGAATGACGAGATTCGGGTGGGAATGAACCGGTTTTGGGTTTTGGGCATGTCCTGGGAAACTTATGTTGGCGGTGTTTCAAGGGAAACCCCTCCACAAAAAGAAACCAGGGAACCATCTCCACTGGAGCCTCCCATCTTAAGACACATCATGGTGTTGTGTTGAGGCTCAGTACCCTTTTGGGGGTTGGCTTCAAGGGCAAGCAAGAGGAAACCACATTTTTTGTTGATGGGAAGGGCTCCAATTTTGACACACCCCCACACACACACCCACACACACACACACCCACACCCACACCCACACCCACACACACGTGTCACAATCAAAACCTGTCACCTAAGGGGCATACCGAAACCCCGTGGTTTGCACAATCAAACGGCCGGACGTCTGCACCTACTAACGGCTGGGCTCAATCTTTATCTAAGCGAGTGTGGCTCAAATGCCAGGGACCCTTTGGTTCCTAACCAAGAAGCACAAAACAAAACATGTACCAGGGTATGCGTGAACGTTCAGACTGCGAATGTCTTGAGATTGAGATCGTGTTCGGGTTTGCTGACTGTGTGCCAATGGGTCACCGACTTGCCTTTTGCCCCTTGGTTTAAATTCCCCCCCCCCCCCCCACAACAAACTTGCATTCCCCCCCCCCACAACAATACAAGCACGTGTTGCAACCACCCCTTCCCTGCTCCCCTTTTCTTGGCCCAACTCGACGGTACGAAAAAAATGGACTTGGCTCCTTCTTGCGATTCCCGACCAAAGGCAGGGGATTGGGGGGTGCTTCCAAACAAATCGTTTCATGATTATGGGACAACACTTCTAGGAATAACTTGACCCCTTAATTGACAACAAACTTTCTAGAATTACCAGTAGCGTCCGGCAGAGCCAGGGAGCGGAACTTTCTCTCTCTCTCTCTCATCATGTTTTTCTTTCTCTCTTTGTCTCTTTCTGTCTTCCTCTGTCTCTCGTTCTCTTTATATATTGTGTTTCTTTCTTTCCTTATTTCTCTCTGCCTCTTTCTTTCTCTTTCTCTGCCTCTCTCTCTCTCTCTCTCTCTCTCTCTTTCTTTCTCTCTCTCTCCCTCTGCGCGGCCCACAAAAGTGAACAAAAGCACTGAGTTGTTCGATCCCGGCCCCCGAAAGCTCGCAGAGTGTTCTGCGAGCAAAGCGAAAACTGAAGGAACACCGAGCTCGTGAAGGTCGGCCCGCCGAGAGTTCGCAGAAGGGTCACCTTTTGTGATGGTTGCGCATGCTGAAAAACGTCAACAGTGCACGATGTTTGTTGAGGAAAGCGTGAGCGAAGAGAGTTTTTGAGGGTTGACACCCAAAGCGTGGCCTTCGCTCAGGCATCGCGACCAGGGTGGTTTGCGCGCGTGCGGAAGGGGTGGATTTACGCACAGGTCGACGTTTTCGGCCCATCTTCAATTGTCCAGTTCTCGCGGTCTTCATACTTGTTCATAGCTTGTTTCGTGCGCAGTGCATCCACTCTTACAGATCACGCGCAAGTGCTCTCACATATAAAGTGTTTTCTTCAGAGAGAGAGAGAGAGAGAGAGAGAGAGAGAAGAGAGAGATAGAGAGAGACACTTAACTTCAGTTAGTTCCACCTATATAAGGAGCTAAACTGACAATCAGAATGGGTGGTTGGGGAACCACAAATGTAAATTGCATCACCATGGCAATCTTGTTGGTCATGTTGGTCAAGAAAGAACTTCCGTAGCGCTGGAACTATGCTGCATCTCATTTTAGGGCTTAACCGAAATCATTTTTTGGGGCCCCATCACATGAAGCCCGACGTTGGCGTCCTGGATAACTCTTGTCCGTAAGGGACCCTGTGGGGGGCTTCATGTCAGTGGACAGAAGAGTGATGTGTGTGTCAAAGTAGGAAATTTTCGAAAACGGTACCCTCAAAAAAGATGGACGTCTGTCTTTATATATATATATATGTATACTCTTAAAAAAGAGAGAAACAAGTACCCGCACTACGGTTGCGGTGAATCAGTTCCTCTCCCCGGACGCGCGCGCCCGCACCTCCAGCACCTCGTCCAGCAGCGCCGAGGAGTTCCGCGGTGTGAACTCGGGGGGCAGCTGCGTGGAGAAGACGCCGATCAGCTCCCCATAGCGCCGCACGCCGGTGGACAAGAAGGAAGCCAAGGCACCATAGCCTAGAGACGTCCCTATAGTGTGTCTTTTCCACTGTTGGACCCAGAAGACTTTGGTTTCGCACAGGTCCTGCGCAAGATCTGTTGAGTGGATCTCTACGCAGGACCAGCGATATCTGTGAAAACTCTTTGCAGGATCTTTGCGCAAGATCTCTGGGGAGGATCTCTTTTATGGGGTGCCCTCTGCAAGTGTTCTGCTCAAGACCTGTGGGGAGCATCCTCTACATGATCTCTCGCAGGGAAATCTTTGCAAGTCCCACGCAAGACCTCGACCGTCTTGAGATATTTGCGGGAAGATATTTGCAGGATTTCTGCGCAAGATGTCTGGGTAGGATCTCTTGGTAGGACTCTCGGCCAGGAACCCGCAGAGAACCCTTAAAGCCTTACGACGTACGAATCGGGAGCACCCCAATCGGAATCAAAGCCCAGGTCTTTTCGGTGAAGCCGCTTTTCGGTGCACCCCTAGGGTACATCAAAAACCTCATCTTCAGTACATGCCGCATATTTGGTCGACATCATTTTGGAGACCCCAACCATCGGACCAGCGAGACAGAAACCGATTCCTTCCTGCTCCGAAGCCCTGATTTTTTTCTCGAGGCGCTGGGGCCGTAGGGCTTCCAGTCGATGATGTTGATCCCGTCGGGGTTGGCCACCGCTGCGCGGAAGGCCTCGCCCAGGCCCGAGTCCTTCCACTCCCCGATGCCGTCCGCCAGAAAGTTGGTGGCGTAGTCCAACTCCTACGGTACCCCAAGGCCCACCTACATGGACGGCACTGCACCACTGCACGGTTATACGGTTATGCATGTACGCCTGTATGCATGTACGTAACCAAAAAAACATCACCAAGGGATGCTCAAAATGGCTGCTCTGAAAAAAAACACGGAACTTTTAAATGGCTCAAAAACTTGCAAATTTGCTGAAGTCTCCAAATACCCGGCCTTTTTCTGGTTGGTACTTCTTGAAAAGCCTGGTTACCTCCTTTTGTGACACATGGACAGATAGACAAATGTGGACAAATATCATAGACAGCTGTAGGCAGATATAGAGAGAGAGAGAGTCAGAAAATAGAGAGACAGAGAGACACAAATAGAGACCGAGAGAGAGAGAGAGAGACAAAGAGAGAGAGAGAGAGAGAGAGAGAAGCAGAGAGAGACAAAAAGAGAGAGAGAGAGAGAGAGAGAGCGAGAGAGCCAGATAGAGAGACAATCAGAGACAGAAAGACAGAGAGCCAAACAGCGAGAGATAGTCATATCTTCTGATTCTGTTTTATACTCATTCTGGGCCAAAAGATAAACTCATTACATGAAGAGACCCGAGACTCCCCTTAGTCGGCCTTGAACACCGAGTAGATGAGGTTGCCTTCGAGATCGAACATGAAAATGTCGTAGTAGTTGCGATCGTAGAGGATGGTCCGGTACCTGGGCAGACCCCAAAGCCGGCGGCTCACAGCAAAGAGCCCGGGAATGAGACTGGAGGGTCTTTCCATTGCCAAGGGACCGTTTATCCCCCAAATCGAGATTCGACTCTCCACATAGAAGGAGTTTTTTTGGACGGTTACTTCCATTCATCTGCAAAGGAAGCGCTCAAAAACTGCGGCAGAATCTTTCATAGTCTTCCTCATCCGCCCTAAGCCCTACCCATTTTCCAGTCCTCCCCACAAAGAATGGAACGAAACATGTAATCCCAGCACCTCGAACTCCTTTTCACTCAGAGGGTATGGATTTCCTCCCCCGACAGCCTACCTAAAGGCAGGATACTCGGCAAGTGGTTGGCAAGAACGGCCATTCCACCACAGCTGTTGTAGGCACCCGGAAATTAACGAGTTTCTCTTTGGTTTTCCTTTTAAGCACAACCAACACGGGAAGGGAGCTTTGCGGTGCCCCCAATAAACAGGCACTCCCTTATCGGCTTCCCAAAATACTGTACTAGGGGAGTACCTATTTGGAGGGGGACCTACAAATCCATTCAAGGGTACCCTCAAAAAGGAACCACAGCCGTGCCTATGGCTGCGGCAGCCTTGCCTTTCAAGCTGCGTCGGATGATACCTGCGATGTACTTGGTGATAATCTTCTGGCCCATCGGCATAGTCGAGCACGTCCTTCTGGCCTATCGAGTCACGAAAAACCGAGTCATCAAGTCAGACCCTTTCGGAGGTCCGAACATGCCAGCAGAAACGCTCGAAGCACAGAACAAATCGGCAAAAGCACAAAAACTGAAAAGGTGCGGAAACCACCATATCGCGCTTGCTTGCTCTCCCGCCTAGAGGATTGGGGTTGAGGAGGATATAGGCAATCTGCAAGCTCAGAAGCCTTTCCGCGTTCGTTGGGCGGTAGGCCTCAGCTTTCTGATCCGCGGCACTTGCACCCCCATGGGTGAAAGATGCAGAAACCCATGGACACCGGCTGTCTTTCTCTTTGTTCTGATTGCAAATGGGAAAGGAGCTTATTTATTCTCCAAAAACGAGTGGAAGGCTGTTAAATGACCCCAAGCCCTCCCCGAAAGGAGGGACTGCACAAATCGGTTTGATGACCAAAGAACCAATAGTTTAAGGGGTAGGTAACTTCACTCTTGCGGCGTCCAACCTCTTGCGGCATGTCTCAAATATAGTCATCAATGACCTTGGCAAAATGTTTTTCTTCTCTTGGCGTGACTGTGAATTCAGAGTCCTGTGGTAGTCTCTACATTTTTGTGGTTTGGTTGTCAGCGCCTGAAGGCTGGATTGGCCATGCTCGTTTGCCATATCGCTGTTGTGCGTTCAGTTGCTTCATTCTTGGGCGGGTTTAGGGCTGCGGGCGTGGGGCTGGCTGCTGGGCTTGCTGGGCTTAGCTGGTTTGGGGTGGCTTAAGGATAGAATGGGGGGCGAAGGTTGGATTTGGGCGGAATTGAGGCAGGGTGAAACATTGGGTTTGCTTTCTGGGAAGTGGGAGCGATGGGTTTCACTGCGTCCAAGGATCGTCCCATGCTTGCTTGAATTCCCACAAAGCATCCACCAGGCCAGGCTTTGCCGCCTCGATGACCAAATAGGACTTGTGCCTCGGCGTCTAAGACCCTGAGAAAGCTACAGGAAATCCGACAAGTTCGCCAACAGCCCCCGAAAGTTCGTGGGTATCTGGTTAACTTCTTGCCGGATTCTTCTGCGGGTGGGTTCAATTCATTGACCGGTAATCCAACTTCTGAACATGCGTGTTAAACCGGTGTCATGTCTCTTCAACCCAACATTTTGCCCAACCCACTCAAGGGTGAATCTGCAATACATGTGCTAAATCAGTCACCACTTCCCTTCAACCCAACACAGTGCCCACTTCAACAATCGTGAATGGATTCAAAACAAAAACAAACACGGCGGTTCTATCAATTCGGAATCAGGTTTTAAGTCTCACAAGCAGGAAATGGACCCCAAAATGGTAACGACTTCATGCTTTTGGAGGATTCCACGTTTCCTTCCTTGTGTTGGATTAGTACTCTGTTGTACCCAATTCAACTGGCCAGGGGTGGATCCACCAAAGCACATCCAAGCCTTCTCTCAGAGTATCTGAGTGAATTTGCCTACGGGTTGCTTGCACACCCTTTTCCGTGTTTTTTTGGGGCTTCCAAACAAAACCTTGTTATGCTTAATCGGGTCATAAGGCGCATCCCAAAAATAGAAGAGGGCACCTCCATGGGTGTGCCGGGCTCCCATGCGAATCAAGCTTGAGGTGCTTGAAGCCGGATTTGTCACAATGGCTAACCCGAAGAGGGTGGAAACGACTCAGGAACTCCTCCAAACTCTTTGTTGGACTTGTTTCCCAGAACCTGTGGGAGGGCCCTACAAGCTGTAGGGAAAACTGAGCGCAACATGCGCCCAAAATAGAGCGTGAGTTCATCTCGGCTTCCCGTTCACCCCCACACAAGTACCCACACACACCCAGAGGCCCTAAGAAAACCACGTCCTAAAACGTAAAATTCGCCTCGGCCCCAAAGGGGCCAAGGGCGCTCAGATCCAAGCAAAATTCTGCCGGCCCGCCCCCCCCCCCCCACCCCCGCCCACCCATGTCGGCTGGCCCAAAATCCTGTCCGGCGGGCCTTGAAATTTTCGGGGTTCGTCGGCGTCCAGCCCATTTTTGTCTAAAAAATTGTGGAAAAGCATCACCTCCTGCTGGCCAGGCCTGTCAGACGTGTCTGAGACTAGGCTCAGGCCCAGCCCAACCAGCAACCCGCCTGCTGGCCAGGCCTGTCAGCCCAGCCCAGCCTCAGGCCCAAGCTTGTCTGAAACCAAGTCATCCAGCAGCTCCCAGCCCATCAGCGGCTCAGCCCAGCGTGCCAAGGTCAGGTTTGTCTAACGTGTCTAAAACTGGCCTCAGGCCAACGACTAGTCTCACGTGTCTGAGACTCGTCTCAAGCGATGTGCCCCAGCCCCTCAGTCCGGCTGCCCAAGCAGCTCAGCCCACACTATCCAGGCCTTGACCTCCTGCTCAAAGTATGCCAGCCTGAGACTGGCCTCAAACCCAGTCCCTCAGCCCTGTCTTACGTGTCTGCAACTGGCCTCAGGCCCAGCGCCGCCCAGCCTCAGCCCAAGTGTGTGTGAGACAGGCCTTGCCCGTCCAGCAACCGCCCAAGTTCCAGGCGCAACCAGCAGCGTAGTCCGGCTGCCCGGCAGCCAGCAACCCACCCGCCTCATGGCTGAGCTTCAGGCCCAGCCCAACCAGCCCAGCCTACAGCCGGCGCATCTCAGAGCATGCCAGCCACTAGGCCGGCCCCCAGCTCCCAGCCCACCAGCAGCGTGCCAAGGTCAGGTTTGTCTAACGTGTTTGAGACTGGCTTCAGGCCAACGACCAGTCTCACGTGTCTGAGACTGGTCTCAAGCTACGCCTCTCCAGCCCCCCAGTCCTCGTGTCTGGCCCCATCCAGCAGGCCCAGCCCCTTTGGCGCAGTGTGAGACTGGTCTCAAGGTATGCCAGCCTGAGACTAGCCTCAGGCCCAGTAGGCCTTCCGCCCAAGCACAGCTCAGCCCAGCCCGCCCAGCCGAAGTTCCACCAACAGCGTAGTCCGGATGCCCAGCAGCCAGCAACCCACCCATGGCTTTGCAGCCTCGTGGCTGAGACTAGCTTCAGGCCCAGCCCAACCAGCAACCCGCCTAAACCCCACCCACCCAAGCCCACCCTGCCTGTTTGAGACTCGCAGGCCTCAGCCTATCTAGCGCCGAGACTGGGCCTCACCAGCCTGGGCTAAACTGGCCTCAGGCCCAGCCCAGCCATAGCCCAGCCCCCTCAGTATGGCTGTCTAGTCCGCCGTAAACTAGTTTCAGGCCCGGCTCGACCAACAACCCACGCAAGCAAGGTCCGCCAAGCTGCCCGAGGCCCAGCACAGGCCGGCTTGTCTGACTTGTCTGGAGCCAGCTTCAGGCCCAGCCCAACCAGCAACCCACGCAAGCAAGCCACAGCCCAGCCCACCCAAGACTGGCTTCAGGCCAGCCCAACCAGCCACCCGCCCTAGCAAGGCCCAGCTCAGCAGCCTAGTCCGGCGCATGGCATCAATTGGCCCAACGTGCCCCAGCCCTTCACTGCGACTGCCCAAGCAGCGCAGCCCAAGCTGGCCAGCCCTAGTCTGAGCAAGCAACCCACTCAAGCACGGCCTACCCCAGCTCCCCTTCGCTTCGGCCCCCAGCCCACAGCCTAGCCAGCACGCCCAGCCCAGCCTGCCCGGCCTCTCGGCGCAGGGGAAATACAACGGCACATGCTCGCGTACCGCGCGGCAGTCTGCTGCCGCTTTACGCGACGCGGGCGAAACATGGGTCCCAGGCTCGGGCGAACTGGTGCGGTCACAAGCTTTCAGTAGGATTCGGACCTTCCCAACACTGGATTTCGGTGTTCCTGACCCTTCCCTCAAGCTAGGCTGGGCCGAGGCGGGCAACGCGAAGCGTTTACAATAAATCCATGCAAGCTTTCCGCACTTCCTGAGTGGATTGGGCAGCACAGTTCAAGCTGTTGCCCAACATGATCCAAAAAATCAAGTTCAGAATCAGAACTTGTGAAAAATTGAAACACACCAAGTTTTGCCAGACCCCGGGAGAAACACACACACGCCTTTTTGAGTTGCTTCAAAGGGACCCCCCCTCCACAAAATGTTAAGAAGTCATTCTGGGTGTTTGGTCAATTCAGGGCTCGCGGGCCAACCTGAGCCAAGCCGCTCTTCCAAACCCACAGCCGACAAGCTCAGCCATTCCTGCGAATACCCGGCCGCCAGCAGCGCGAACTCCGTCTCTGCGTGCTTGAACCTAGGAAAGCCAAAATGGGTTCAATGGGTGGCTTCATGTTGGTTGCCCTGCCCCCAAACTGATATAATATTTGTATATACCCTCAGAACAAGCCGCACCCTTGTGTCGAAGTGACCCCCAAGATGGTGGCTTTCCTTTCGGTCTCCCTTTCAACATCACCTCAAAAGGGGCCCCCTCAAAACAAACACGCACACTCCCACGTACAAGCGCGCGCACCCTCACACGCACGCGCACACGCGCACGCTCACCCACATACTCTGGGTTTCTCAAAGGGTGTTTGGGCACCCCGCTTTTGGTTCGCTCCAGACAAAGCGGCACTGAAACCAAGGGTTTTTGGTCCAGGGTGCCTCCAACCGCCCAGAATGAGACCACTCAACAAACCACTGGTTTTCCCGTCGCCGTGAAAACCAGCCCCGTGGCCATGTAGGAGGCAATAAGAGTTTCTTGCCAGGTTTTGCGCGATGGTTTTGCGCGATGGTTTCCCCCGGAGCCTGCAGTCTTCTGCCACGCTGTCCTCTTTCAAAGGGATTTCCAAGCGATGTGCTGGTTGCTCCGGCGTGGCGCGAGTTAGACGTTTGGTCCCACGGGTAACTAAAGAACCCAAGCTGGACGTTTACCTGGACCGTCAAACTGGAAACTACCCTTACACACTGCAAACTAGCCTTACAATTTGGAAACTTCCCTTACAAATTGAACACTAGCCCCCTGACACATTCGAAACTACCCGTGCAAACTGGAAACTGCCCTTACAAAATGGAAACTAGAATTTCAACTACCCTTACAAATCGCAAACTTTTTTACACATTTGAACTAGCCCGCTTATACATTGAAAACTAGACTTACATTGGCAACTGTCCTTACAATTGGACACTACCCTACACAGAAGACTACCCTGACAAACTGGAAACTGGCCCCCCTACAAATTAAACACTATGTTTACAAATTGGAAGCTACCAATACAATTTGGACTCCGCCCTTACAAAATAGAAACTACCCTTACAGATTAGAGACGACCCTAAACTGGAGACTACCCTTACCAAATGGAAACTAGCCCCCTTAATTACACATTGAACACCACCCTTGCAAATTTGAAGCTACACCCCTTACACATTGGACACTACCCATATTTGTTGGCACATGTCCAACTTTTCGGGCTAATTTGAGGGTTCAGGCACCTTGAGGTTTGGTCATTGATAAGGAGACCCCCCGTCACAGGTCAAAGGTTCTCACACATGAACTGAAGAGGGTTGCCTGTCTTCCCTAACAACTCACTGACATCCTGAAAAAACCAGGGATCTCGGCCGCAGCAAATATCTAAGTCCAGTCCGGGAGACTCAACCATCCCCTTTCAGGGAGCGAGGCTCATTCCCCAAACCCTCGTCAAGTAGAGCTCGGCGAACTCTCCGAGCACCCGGTTTGTCCGACCGCACACTTGTCTTTAAGATCTCCATTTGGGTATGGCTTAACTTTTGAGTTGATACTTGATACCTTTTTTGGTTTTTTGGGCGTGAAATGGCAAACCAAAAGGGACCCCACCATCTCAGGGGTTCCTTCAGTTTTGAGACAAACCCATGTACCTTTGTTTTAGTTGGCTTCGGGATCGGATTGGATCAAGAGGCTTGGAGTCCAAGGAGTTGTAGGTTTGCATCATCACCTCCCAGCTTGTTGCGTCCAGCGCGGTGTCGCAGCTCGCGTTGCCTGGCGAAAGGAACCAACCGGAAACAAACAACAAAAAACAAAAAACATGTGTGTCACGGAGACTCGAAGGCGTGACATGGGGGCAAATGGATGGTGTTCCAGGCACCCGGGGCACGTTTTTTTGAGAAACAACACAGATGATTGC